TCAAAATCTTTATAAAATCTTTTTTCTTTTTCAAATTTTTTCCTTTTGTGTTTTTATTTAGTACCATTGAAGGCATCTTTTATCAAAATTGTTAGTTTCATTACTAAATCATTCAGTAGCTTATAGGATATTCAGAATTATTGCATTTGTTTTTTAGAAATTACCTTCTAAAGAGCAGAGAAGGCCAAAAAATTCCCACTTTTTAAACCTTTTTAAAAAAATGTCTCCAGATTGTATTGTTTCTTGACATTTTGTCTCACTTAAAAGGAAGTAATTTAAGAAAAACCTTAAATGACAAGTGTCAAGGTAGCTAAAATTAAACATTAAATCTAAGGGTGTTTGACTTACAGGTTAGATATAAAGCCCCTCTGAAAAATCTTGTTTTGAACATGGGTATCTTCCCATTCACAAGTGTCCTGATGTACACAGAGCAGTGGGGAAACAGACTGGTGCTTTTTTGGAAGGTGTGTATTGAGAATATTTTTAGGAGTACTCCTCTGAAAATTGTTTTGGAGCTATTTCTGTCTTGTTGTTTTGCACCAGAAACTGGAACTCTTGAGCTCTAGAATACAGCCTTTTGTGTGACTTCTCTTACTTTTATTAAGAGATACAGCTCCTGTGAAGGGGGAAGATGGGCCCTGTCCAGCTGAGTCTAAAATTTGCCATGTACAGGCACTGTTGATAGTTACGGAGATACAATTCCTGGGAGGTTCACATTTTAATAACTATGTCTATTTTAACTGAAGAAAACTGAAAAGAAAATGTGTGGTATGGATTTTCAAGCTGGGTAGTATTTTTGTTCTTTGACTGAATCTCTCAAATTTGGTACAGTGGACGATAAACTCAATTTTCCATAGCAGAAGAAAATGATCTTTCATTCTGGTTAGAGACGTGTTGCTTCTAATCAGAGTTTTGTTCATGTGAGAACTGGGGAGAAAATAAAAAGTGTTAGAAAAGAGCGTTAAAATGCAATGTATGCTCAGTAGTGGTTTCCTTTTCACTGTAAAGTTTTTTGGTTGAAGAGTGATTGAGGACTAGTAAAGCAAAACACCTGAAGATTAAAAAGTTTAACTTCATAAATAAATCCTAGTCTAAGAATTAAATAGGAAGCTATCTCTTCCTAGAATGTAAATTTTTGTTGCAAAAGATATACTAGAGACTGGTTTCTTTATATTCTCAGTGAAAATAGCATTATCCATGAAGATAAATACCTTCTTCAGAGGGACTAAAGATTGTGGATTTTGCCTTAACATATTCCAGGGCCATGCCATTTTTCATGTTTTGGAAGAAAAGCATCTAAGAAAAGGAACACCAGACATAAATCCTGAGAACCTTTCATCTGGTTCCTTTATTTATTCATTGAATAAGCAGTGAAGTTCAGTACTCTGTAGGTGTAGCCACATTAGGGTTGTTCATAGGTACACATCTTCGGCAGGACTGACTTTTCAGCAACTCCATAATATGTATGTTTTGGCTTCTCCTTTACTTTGCAGAAGGAAGTGTTTGTTTTAACCCAGAGTCTTTGTAACCAGGAGTATCTGTCGCTCAAATAATAGTTCTTCTCTGAATACCAGGAAGTGCCCATTTTGACAAAGGCATGGCAATTTAAGCGAGCCAGTGTCAAAACATGTGTTTGCAAGGTGGACATGCAGGTGACACTGGCCTTTTGTTACTATTCCTGATGATCCATGCAGATCTGTCATTTCTAAATGTTGCATTGGTGCTTCAGTAGAGGCTGGCATCAATAATCCAGCTACTTAATCTGTGCTGACCTTGTTTCAGGTCAGCACCACAGAAAAAGCATGACTTGCTCTGCAAATGGTCACAAACATCCCAGGAAATATGTAGTGCGAGGCAGAGAAGCTGAGTTTTCAGTGTTTTTCATTCTCTTAACTGCTGAGGCAGCTTGGTAAAAGAAGAAAGGTAGTAAGTTAGGAGCTGATGGATGAGGAATTAGTCTGGATAGCAGTATAAAAGCAGAAGTGAACTGGCACAGAGGCAGTAGAAAGAGGGATAAATTAGAAAGAGAGGATGAAAAAATAGCAATAAATATGAGTTGAAAGGTATAGAGTGAAATGAGGGGTGAAAAAAAGGAAAGCTGGCTGTGGTGTGCTTCTTGCCCCTTTCTTTTCCTCTTTGAGAACCTGAAAATTTATCTAGAATTCTGCTATCCCAGACACATTGACATCCCTTGTGGTGTTTGGTGTGATGGCAAATTTTGCTTTTTTGTTTATTTATTTATTTCTTTATTTTAACCAGTGCATGTCAAATATTTGGAGTCAAGTACTGCCCCAGCTAGGAGATAATATATTATAGAGTGCCTGGTAGAGTTTGAGTCAATCAAGTGTGTTGTGATAGAGCTGCTGCAGTTTTACACAGGAACCTTTCACTTATGATGCACATGGTAGGATACTACAGAGATAATAGGATAATATGGCATATATTGGAGTTCTTACCTTCTTTCTTTTACTGAAAGAAAAGGAATCAAGTAAAGGGGAAATTACTACATGGGTTATTCTCAAGTTAGGGCAAAAGAAAACCCATGGGAAATAGATGTGGCTTGCTGTTGCACCTTTCCTGACTCTTCACAGCAACTTTGAGTCTGGTTGAAAAAGATAAAGCTTGATTTTTATAGGCATTGAGCATACAGTTGCAACTGAAGTAAATGAGAGCTTATTGTTTTGACCAATGTGCTTGGAATTTTTGTTGTCCTTAACAAATTAAAATAAAAACCAAGTTCATATGTTTCAAATAGGCTCCCTAAGATTAATGGATAGCAGTGACAATTTGGGGGCTAATACTTCTTTTTTTCCCAACTGAAGCTTGTAGCTAGTCTCATAACTGTAGATGTGATTTCAAGATGAACTTGTTCATTTTTTCTGTTACATACTGTGGGAATAAATGCCTAAAGACAGAAAAAGGGAAATAAATTCTCTGTGCGTGGTCAGGATGAGTGCTCATTAAATGTGATATATGCCTTAACAGGTTTAAGATAATGATATACCTTTAATAGAAAAGGGTATAATAATTGGTTTCACTTGCATTTCTATTTTTAAAGCTTGTTCGTAAGTATTTTGAGCACTCTTTAATTGTGTTGGGAATTTTAGCAAGTGAAATTAAGATTTCCCATCTAAAGTCATATATTCAGGAACAAAGCTGTGTGCCAGGATGTCTTGGCTCGTAATTATTGTTTTCTGCTCTGGAACATCTTGTTGCCATATTCTATATGAGTGTAGTCTCCTGTCATTACTGGAATGGGACAATTTGTTAAAATCTGTCCTTAAATTTTAAATATACAAAACTATGTCTCTTTGCATATGTTTCTAGTGGGGCAACTTAAAATTTTTGTATGTCTTAAAAAGGGATGGGCAGGTCCCAAAGGTCTAACTTACCCTGTTTGAAAAGGACCATTATTCCAGTGCATGTGTGTGTGAGGGAGAGTGCAAGAGCTCCTCATGTTTCCATGTGCTCACGTATTTTCCTGTGCATTTGCTTATGTAGATAAATCCCTGCCTGGTGTGGCTTCATTTGACATAAATACAAAAGAAAATTTTTTCTAAACCTGCTAGCAGTAAGAAACAATTTACCAATATATGAATAAGCAAGCCACAGCAAAAGAGAGATGATGATCCTGGCAATGCTGAATGTTTTAATTGCATTTAGAATAGTACCAAATGAGAGAACAAATCTTTTTCAAACTGAGCAATACAAAATTTTTCTGTTTCTTGATGTGTAATAGTGAGCTGGAATTTCAGCAGTGATGCAATCAGGATAGTGGCTGATGGAAATTTCTTAATAAGAAATAAGATGATTTGAAGGAAATGTTTCCTTCCACATCCTGTCATAAGCAGAGAAATTACTGCAAGAATGAGACCAATTGTGGGAGATGGCTTTGATAGACCTTTCAAAAGAGATGGCCAAAGATGCAGGTTAAAAATGCAGAAGAGACAGGGGAATGAGACTTCTCGTTTTTGTGTGACACCTGGGTGGCCTCTGTCGCTGGCAGTAGTTTGCCATCTTCTGGTCCTCTGACATGTGGCAGCCAGCAGCTTTGTGTCTGTTTTGCTGTCAGAAATGCAGACAGTGTCTCTGCACTGAGAGGATACTATGAGCTAAATTTACGGCATACCAGCTCTTCCACCCCAGTTCCCCTTGCAGGGTTTTGGGTCCAGGTAGTACTCTATCCTCACTTTGTGTCAGGGGAGATAGGTCATTCCGTGTTCAAAGTGTCCATGCAAAAAATAATACCAAGAAGCCAGTGATGGGGAAAATCCATATGCAGAATTACTTAGCAGTGAACTTTCCTTGACAATTTCAGTTTTAGAAGATTAGCTAAGCCCCTTATCTAGAAGAACTTTCCTGATGACATAAGGCTCATATTGGAGGACACAGCTGTGTACAGCCTAAGGATGACTTCAGTTCCTGTGCTTTGGCATATGGATTTCAGACTGTAGAAGTAATAAAACAGTGCCTTCATGTGTCCTTGCAGATTTGTCCATCGTAGAACATTAATTCACAGAATCACACAAATCACAGAATGAAAAAGGGGCCACTGGTCCAAGTTCCCTGCGCCAGGGACCATATTACTGAGGATGGTGCCCTGATACCATTTGAATATCTCCAGGGAAGGAGACTCCACAGCCTCTCTGGGCAATCTGTTCTAGTGCTTGGTCACCCACATGGTAAAGTGTTTCCTCATATTCAGGTGGAAGTTTTTGTGCATCAGTTTCTGCCCATTGCCTCTCGTCCTATTGCTTGGCACCACCTCCTGACACCCTCCCTTCAGATATTTATGTGCAACGCTTTAGAAAAAAATAGCCTAAAAATGCAAACATGAAATTGTAAAGTGGTTTAGGAAATTAGTTGTCAACAAGACGATATTTTTGATACTGTGTTCAACATCTAAACATGGTAAAACTGCTCTTTAGAAATTTCTGCAATGTAATTTCATAACTGCTTCTTAAAAAAGTTCATTCCTTATCTATGTTTTTAATTTGTAGGTACATTGAAACCTTGAAAGAACACAAGCCAAAAATTGTCTGGGATGAACAAATTGCTGAACACTACTTTGAATACAAAAAGTGAGTTACATTTATTAACTTACCATTCTGCAAATATTTTTGGGCATGGGCTAATGACTGTAGTATGCAACTGAATTCAGCAAATGGAAATTCTGCTGATTGTATCTGTGTGTCAACACTGAACTGCAGCATAAAAGAGTGTTTTGGGCGAGAGGAGAAAATCAGAGAAGGATTCATGAAATTACATAAACCAGAACAATCTTTAGAAGAGAAGACTGATGAGTCATATCTTTAGAAATTATCCATCAAAGTTATCTATTGAGTGTCAGTTAATCAGAGGCTCTGAGATGAGTACTGGGAGCTGTCTGGTGATTACCAATAACTCAGCCAAAAATAGTTCTGAGAAAAAGATATGGTTCAAGAGCCTGGTTTCACAAGTCCTACTGCTGAGATTGTTTAAGTGACAAACTTCCACTAGATGGAATGGACTGTAGAGAAATGTAATAGAAGTAAAACTAACTGACTTCTAGATAAAGTTTTTGAAAGAACTAAGAGTGTTAAGGGTTATAGTGTTCTTTGTCCTCCCTTGTTCATTGTGAAATGACAAGAGGATTCCTGATCTAGAAGAATCCATTTAAACAGATTAAAATAAATAAACCCAGCAACATCTTATTAATCCTCTGATAATTTTCTATTTTTATGCAAAAATACCAAAATATGCAAACTGATACAAACAAATCCTACTACTTCTGCAAAGCTGTGTCTTGTATATTACTCAGTGCACTGTTAATGTGAAGATACACAACTGAAAGGAAGATTTTAGAAGCTTTTAATAAAAACAATCAAAACTTCTTTATTTCCAAAACAATCTGGTCTAAAATATTTTTCAATATTAAAAAAACCCAACCAAAACCCAAAAATTAAAACTAAACCTACAAATCACCTACCTTTGTATTTTTAGTTTAATTTTCAAGATGTTTCTCAGCCTGTAATTTTCTTCTGACTTTTATTTATCAGGAAAAAAAAATCTGTTGTTGAGCAGTGTTTAAATTTGGGGGTTTTTCATGTGTTTGGATGAAAGGACTGGGATCTGTATGCCTTCTTTTTTAATTATTTGGTATCCTGTTGCAAAATTACTTTTTACCAAGCAATTACAGTTTTTTGTGTTAACTAAAAAGGAATAAATCAGAAGCTCTGTTTTACTGATCTTTAATATCCAATCCTGTTGGAGACACTATGAGCACTAGATGAAAACTTGCTCTCAAAAGTGTAACTCTGAGGGCTGTGTTTCAATGGCATGCTTCTGGGATTCATGTCTGAATCACATTTCTTACATGGCAAAATGAACTTGTGGCTTGTCTGTAGTACTTCCTCTTTTTTCTTTGAAGCCAACCTTTGGAGGTTCTTGTGTGGGGCTTCCTGGAGGAAGTTTTGATGCATGAAGCCCACTCTGTCTGAAAATCACTCTAAACTTCACTTGTGCTGTGCTTGGCAGTCAGCTGAGTGGTTCAGCTGGCTGCAGGGGAGGGTTATTTAAGGAACTCTTTTTCAGTTACCACTTTGTTTTGCAAAGGTTCAATTATTTTGGACAGGGATGGCAGCCAGGCCTGAAATATGTATGCTTCCCTGGTGAAGCCTCTCACCTGGATATCCTGCACGTCTGCAGCAGCTGAGAAATGAAATCATGAATCTTTAAGCAAAGCACACCTAATGATTTCATGTTGCAGGCAGAGACTGTCTATTACAAATAGTTGCAGAAAGCTGTGAGATTTTAGGAGCAATTCCTTCTTGATCTGTCCATGCACACTACTTTTTCTCCTGGTCTAAGTGGTAAAGTGGTGCTGTGAGACCCTTTGTAACTCATCCTTCTCATTACTAGGGATTTAAAATGCCACCTTGGTATTTGTGCCCAGTATAGCTTGCCCTGTCTGTATATTTTATACTGCTGGCAGTTAATTTAGCCTGAAAGATAGTAATTCAGGGAATTGGAGAAAATATTTCACAGTTTGCATCAGAAAACCAAATGTCTTCATCTTTTTCAGATGCGTGTTTATAAGGCACAACTGCCTGTTACAATCTGACAGTTTTGTCATCCAGTTGCAACAAAATATCTCAGTGTTTACTATGATATGGTATCAAACCATCTCTGTTGTGAGATCTCTTCTTGGATCCTCTGTTTTCACTGTCAGCCTTTTCACAGTATCAGAGAATCTCAGAATTGTTAAGTTTGGAAGAGACAAACCTGGTTTTGAATTCTAGCCTTAGTTTAAAATCCTGGTATCTATCAAAGCTACTGTGACTATTTGGTTTTCTTGTTTTGCAGAAATAAGGGAGGAAAACATGCAGTCTTCTACCCAACACTGAAGGTAGGTGTCACTTTCTCAGGTCTGTAAGAGGACAGAGATGTTTACTTGACCCATTCCATTATTGAGACATTTCAGAAAATGTTGAACTGGGTTTAGGCTTTTGTGGAAGAAGTTTGCCCTCATGTAGATGTTACGTAAATTGTTATGATTCAAAGATTCAGCTGCTTGTGCAAGAAGGTTGGCTTTTTCTCTCACGCATAATGGGGTTTTGGGATCTCTGAAGATAAAGCATGTCTAGAGATAAGACACACCGGGACAAACTGGTGCTGTAGAGGATCTGTTCAAGTGCACAGCTCGTGTACTATCAGACATGTTGTTAGCAGATTCTCAGACAAGATACCAAAGAAATTTTCCTTCTCATCATGGTGGCTGGAAGCTTTGAGAACTTTAGCCTTCCTTTGTAACAGGGTCCTGATTCTCCCTGTCAGCCTGCATCACCATGTTATCTTCAGTTCTGTTTCTGTGGAACATACTTTAGTGTTTTGAAAACTTCTACACAATAGTCTGCAGTAGACCAGCATGCAGGATAAAATGGGTAATTACAGCCTTAGTTCCTAGGAAGTTATCTTTAGACTTTCTCAAATTAAACTGAAAAAAAATTCAAAAATCCAGTGTGTTAAACCTCTGCTGGCATTTAGTATTGGAAGGGAATTGCTTCTGTAGTGAAACTACATTGTTTTTACAGAGACCAGAGACTTTTTTTGTGGTTAAAGTAGTATGAAATGACCTAAGGCTCTGTTTTCCTGGATTGTTATCTTAAGTAAAAGGATATTTCCCCTCATTAATCCAATATGGGTGGAAGTACTATCACATATGGGGTATTAACTCCCCCATCTATGTTCTTGCTGGTGCTGCATGTCTGAGAGTGTTAGAAAGTTTCATTGTGAATGTATCAGAGAATAGATAGCTTGTGCTGTTATGCTGTTTTCTTCAGCCTCGGGGAAGGATTTTGTCAGTGCTAACCAGGTTAAGAAAACTCATTTCTGTGCATTTCTTTCATTATTTCCTCTCTAGCAGATCACTACTCAACTGTGGTGATTGGTGAATGCACAGAAATGGATTTTCTTTCCATTTTCAACATGCTTGTAATGAAATAATTTGAGATTTAGTTGCTGGCAAGATGATTTGGAAACACTGAATGTTATTACCTCATGAAAAAATTAGTTTCTTTCCCCTTTTAATGTTATACTCACTAACAAGTAGCTCAAAATTAGTTTGTTCATTAGTTTGTTAAACACAGTCATGAATGCCAGGCCCAGTGGATCTGTTAATGATGCTGTGATACCTTATTCTGTTTCCCAGGAAATGATTTTTAAGCACCTCCCTAGCGTGAGTAGTTTAGTTTAAGCATTGCAGTGCTGTAGTTCAAAGTAAGAAAACCTGAGAGCAAAAGATAGAAAAATAATTATTTTTGTTTGAATTTAAAAAAAAAAAAGGCAGAATGTGAATTGTGGCATTGCTTCCGTTGTTAACCAATGGCTAAACTAAATCTTCTAAATCAATGGCTGGAGCTCAAATAGAGATACTTTTAATTATTATCTCCAAGAATCTCTTTAAAATAGAATTTTTGTAATGTAAATTGTGACTCTGTCCTGGGAAAAGGCAAGGGTAGGCAGGAGATCTTGATGGTATTTGACAAGTCATTCTGATTGTCTTCAGTGATAAAGTTCTATTTTACCCCTGAGATATTTCTGGGAAGACTTAGAATTTCTGTACATTGTGAAATGATAGCCTAAATTAGAATAGTTCTTTGCATAGTTCATAAATCTGATTTATTTCTGTGGCATTTTGTCAATTTATCTGGTAATCTTTTATTAGGTCATTGAATTAACTGGTACGATTAACTGTCTTTGACTGAATGATTGCTTGCTAACCAGAGAGTATTTGAAATACAGACAAGGTTTTTCAGTAGCTGGTTCAAGGGTAGATGTTTTTAAAAGGTTCGGTAATGGCATGAAGAGATGGCAGTATGGAGTCTCTGATATCTCTGACTGAGACCTGACTGCTTTATGTGTCTTTCTCTTAGTCCATCCAGTTGCGTTTGGAGCTTGCAAAGGAATTGGGCACTGGAATATCCATCTGGGAACTGGGACAAGGCCTGGACTATTTTTATGATCTGCTTTAAAATGAGAGATGATCTTAGAAAGAATTTATTTGCTTCACTGAGGCTCCACCTTCAATTAATCTGGGTATCCTGGAGAGGTGATTTTTAAAACATTTTTTGTAATTTATATCATATCTGTATTAAAATTGCATTTTTTTTCCCCAATAAAGAATCCTTTTTGATTTGCCACACAGACGTGGTTGTTGGCATCTGATAAAATTCTGACAAAAACCCACAGAAATTTCTCTTAAAGCACCTGGACTCCAAGTCATTGAAAACAGACCAACGTAGCTGGATGGAGTCAGAGTTGAAGATATTTTCTGAAATGTTTTCTAGAAGAAGTATAAAGTGGGAAAGTTGATGCCGTGTGATCAGAGTTTAAGACGGAGACCTTTCAAAGAGCTACTGGTAATAACCAAAGTAAGAGAACAAATAAATCCATCATATTACACCCAGCAAATTTAAAATCTGCTGGACTCTCTGCATCTTGCTGTCTTCTGATATGGTAAGTGAACATAAAATGTCTGGAGGGGAGACCAATTTGAAGACTTTCCCTCAAGCTGGTAGAAAATCAAGCAAAGCTGTTGACAAGCTAAGCTGTTGGCTCTGTTTGTTTTGTCATGTTAGTAAATTCCTTAAGTAGTTCAAAGTCACAGTAATTTGAATTTATGACCTGTTTCTAAATCAGTTCTGGTACAAGAGGTGCTGTGTGATTTCTCTACTCTGCTTAGCCAGCTTGGTGGCTCAGTTATAGAGCATGATGCATTAGTGGCCACTTTGTGGGAACTGTCACATTCAGCAACAAAGGCTCTAATGATAATCATGGATTCCATGGACATGATGGATCCCATGGCCCCAGCAGACAGAGCCCCAGCAGCTCTGACAACCCCTTGACTTTAAGCAGGGCCTGTAAATGTCATCAGCACCTTTGTGCATGAAGCTGTCATTCTTCAGCTGCACACATTGGTGCTTTTGTCTCTCTAATATGGATTTTTTAGGAACGCAACAGCTGTAAAAACCCATCAGTTTAAAAACAAAGCCAAGAAATTGTGTCCCTGCCTCTTCGTTTGTAGTATTTGTGTTTGTGGAAATCCACAGGCTTCAAGGCAGTTTCTTCTAAGGAACTAAGAGGTGCTGGGAATTTGATGAGGGTGTCATTGGTCACCAGCAGAGACGGAGGCAAAGAGCTCTGTACTCCCACTGGTGTTCTTCTTGCCACTTAGAGTTGTCACAAAGATGACTGCACTCCTCTGTTCACATCCACCCTTCCCAGTAATTAATCTCAGCGGGGAATTTATCTGCCCCTGCTGTTTTCAGCAGAATAAATCCCACTGTAATCCACCATTGATTAAAGAACTATTGATCTTCACCTTTCTGATTTAGTTCTGGCATCTCTCGACTTCTCACATTGCAAGTATCCAGCTGGGGTAACTAATCAGGTTTCTTTCTTCCATACCATTAGTAGTAAGATAATTTGCTACATGAATCCTTCTGTTCAATTAACTTGAACTTTCTAGTTCGTTCAAAAGCAATTTAAAGTCGCTCTGGCAATGGTATCTAGAATAGCACAAGAATTAAATTCTATTACAGTGTTTTTTCTACTTTCAGTGGCACTATTGAACCACAATGTCTCAGAAAAAAAATACTCAGAAATGGAAGGGGTTATGTTCTGAAATGGCATCCATTTTTATATTAGCTAGTAGGTAGCTTGCCAAATTGGATGTGGGGAAGAAAATGATATTTCATTTTAGCTTGTTTATTCTCTAGAAAAGATATACATAATTTACCACAATTTTCATTTTGTTTATATTCTGTGATGATTTTTTGTGAGGTACATGATTCCTGTTTGTCTCTATGTTAGAAAGAAATGTCTTTTCCATCCTTAGAGGCAGAAAAAATACCTCTGTGTTTCAAAAGGATAAAAATAACCCTTACTGTTTCCTGAAAAATAAATACCAGGTAAGAAGTACCAGATAGGATTTTGAGCGATCCATGGTATATTGGTGCTTGAGGCCAAGAATATCACTAAAGGCAAAACATGTTTGTTGGATTAGAAATAATATTCTAAAAGGAACAAAGTTGACATTATTCCTAATAATTAAATTCTCTATTAAAAAAAAAAAAAAGGAAAAAGAAAAGAAGAAACGAACATCAGAAGGGCTGTGAGCTCCAGAATGAATGCAGAACATCTTCTGATGGGTTGGTCTTGCATTTCCCTAATTTTTCAATATGTGGGAATGTCAGGTTGTCTTGTAATAACAAAGAATATAGAAATCATGGAAAACAGCTTTCTTTTGAAATTTGCACCTCAACACATCTATGGAAAGATGACACAGGAGAGAAGTGCTTGTATGAAAGGGGGATCCTGCAGAGCATCTCCTTTTATGACAAGTGGGGAAAACTGCATGAGGGGCAGAAGGTGGGAGGCAGTGCTGAAGTGGCAATTCATTATTTATTCCTAAATAAAAAAAGCAAGCATTCCTAAAATGAGGTACTTGGCAGAGCAAGGCCAAAGATACTGGACATAAAGGATCAAGGGTATGATTGGGGAGAAATATTTAGTGTTTCTATTAAAAAACAACTTACACCTAATATAGCAAACAATGAAATAGAAGTGCTTATTTGAACACAGTATATTACAATTAAGTTTTCTAAGATACATTTAAAGAAAAGGTTTCCTGTATAGGGCTCTGTTGCTAGAAAAATTTCTTTGTTGCAAGAAATTTCCTCTCTTGCAAGAAAAATTTCCTTGTATTTGTATAAGATCTTGAGCACCATGAATGTAAAGGTGTCTTTACATTCTCTACCTGATGCCAAGTGGAGATTTTTTCCAACTGATCTTTGCTCTTGTATTTCTGGGTGATTTTCTTTTTTGGGTGAGACTTACACAGGGTTAAGATAAATACATTTTTCTGCACAATTTTTATTGTATTCACTGAGAAAAAGAAGTAACAGCTGATTCTGTTGCAGCTGGCCTTTGATACGAAGCTGGTATTTTTATTGTCAATTATCATCACACTCGTGGTTTTAACAGGTATTGAGCAGGGGTTGTATCTGTATACAACTAAATATCTTACCAAGACAGAAAAGAGGACTTATCTGGGTGCTTGTAGGACCATATGGACCATTCTTCTCGGATAACAGCATCCCATCTTATCTCCTGTGGTAAGTGTATCTTGAAAACTTGACCTGCCATCTTTGTAATGTGAAGCAGATTTAGCAGAGAATTGTTGAATAGAAGTTGTTTTGCTTGTCTCATTGTGAGATGCTATTCTTCAAGAAAAATTGCTATAGTATTTCATGTTATAGTTTCTTTTTTATCATATATAGGTTTGAGACTGCAGAACCAAGTGTAGCTTCCAGGTAAGAAAGTTGGGAGAGAAAGAGAAGAGATAATGTGGTAAGGTAGATCCAAGAATGATAATGCTAAAACAAGTTATTTAACCACTTCTTAGTTATAAAGAATTGTTGAGTGAGTTGTAACAATTTAGTGTTTATGGGCTCAAGCAAAACTATGAAATGCTTTTTTTGTTTCTGCTGTTACCAGTGGTAATTATTTGTAAGAGTGGGGGAAGTGTTTCGTGCATGCTCGTCTGTGGAGACTGCAAAGCTAATGGATGTTCACAGGAACTGTAATTACAGTCTCTCCTGAATTTGGGACACACCTTTTGAAGTTTACTGTTTTGATTAATACACAGTACAGCTCTGTGACTTCACGTAAACAAATGGCAGCACAAAGCAGATGGATTCTACCTCTGCAGCTTGAAGAGGTTGTATGCAGCTATTTCCTGAAAATAACATTTTTTCAGTGATCACTTTTATATGTAATAAGTGCAAATTAAGTAAGCCTGAATTGGTGTTTTGTAGTCTGCCAGGCAATCACTTTGATAGTCTGCACTGGGGAAAAACATATCATCTCTTTAGAAAAAAACCCAGCATAATATGAAAAAATAACTGGAACAGAACTAGATTAATGGCCCTTACTGAAACAGTTGCAAAAATAATTAGCATCACTTGTCTTGTTAGTATATGAAATTAAAAGCAAAATGTGTTTTCAAATATATTCTGTTGGAATGAGAGCATTATAACAAAATGTTATTTTGCAAAAAAATACGAATGAATGGAATCTAAGACTCAAAATTTGAAACGGTTTGTTGTTTTACATTCCTACTTATACCAGTTACCTTTTCTGGATATATTTCCATATCTGATTGGTTACAGTGTAACTGAAAATTGTTTTAGTAAAAATACTGTAGAAAAACTTGTATGCTATTTTTCCTAGAAACAAACAAGGAAGTTTCTTACAAACTCTTAATGAAATAAGCTTTTACTCTGACTTCTAGCACATTAGAACTTATTCTCCATTTAACTGCTGAGACCAAAGCAGATGGGCACTTTTAAGCTGCCTTCATGTGGAACATAGATTATCATATTTTATTCCATCATTGTGTGGAGTTCAAATAAAGTAAAATTTAGCAATTGTCTAGTGTGGGAAGGCAGAACATAAACTAAAATCCTGCCCTCTGTGTGTGAATTCGCAGCTGGGCACAGGTGTGCAGAGTTTAATCACAGGGCATTCATTACCTTGCCCACCTGATTTTTTGAGAGCAGTAATGAGGATCAGGTGGAAATGCTTAGTGTAAATAAGCAGCATATTGTCTTTCTAGAGACCTCCTAACTTTCCTTATTTCATTTACCAGAAGCCACTAATCTCAGCAGACATACCCATAGTGGCAGAAGGGTACAGGCCCTCTCATGTCTAGACTGCACACCATGGGGTTTTGCATAAGTGACTTGCTGTAAGGCTTCCCAGATTGCTGCATTTTTCTGCAAATCCATGAGCACTTTCTCAGAGCTGGGCTATCTAATTTTCCAGCTTTGTCATCTTTTGCTGTTAAGTTCCTGCTCTGTGTATGGCTGCAGCAGGGGCTGGCTGAATGTTCTGCCTCACCTTCCTCAAAGGTTAGTGCAGAAGGTGTAGAAGATGATGGGATTTCAACAGTTTCCTCCAGTATGTGAAGTCTACACATTATGGTTACCTCTGCTGCTCATCCTACTCCAAAAGGTAATACTGAATTTTGTTTTCCTTTATTTTCAAGTGTTAAAGCAGTTAACAAAAGACCTCCATACAAACATTGCTAATTTTCAGCAAATATTATTTTCTCTTCTTCCTTATGATCTCATTTAAGAATG